CCTGGAGGTACTTCGGCATAAAGTCTGTTTTTAGCTGCTATCTGTGCTAAGGTGGAATTTTTTATGTTTCGTAAAAATCGTTTAGAGTACCCACGCTCTTTCAGTTTTGAGAAAACAATCGTACAGGCTTGGTTGAAATCAGAAGATCTTGTACAAATTCGATGAAATCGTAAAACTTGTGACTTAATTATACCAGAAAAGGTATGTTTTGGGTGAAAGGAGCTCTTGTGCAAGAGTTGATGAGTATCAGGTTAGCGACATCATCATTTTTGCCCAGTTAGATGCGAGTAATTCTGAACAGACCGTGACTATAAGGATGAGAAGGTGACGACTATTATCACCAATCAGTGTCAATCATAGTGAATGTAACTCAGTTGATAAGACTATAACGACACCTTTCTTTAAATTTCAAAAGTGGAGGGTTCAAAATGTACAAATATAGAGCACGATTTGTTGTCTCATCCGACAAGAGGCTTTTCCATTTCATATCAATACCTCTTTGAATCTAAATTATTTATGATCCGGATGTAGTGACGTCATCCAATTAATCCGGCGATTATATTTATCCCCTTTAAGATACCTTTAATATCCCAGAGATGATAGAATTCTAAGACAAATCTAATTTAAGATCGTGCATAATCAAATATAGTAGTTTAGCTCACTGGACGTCGGCTGAATTGACGTTTTTCTAGATATGAGTTGCACCCCTTTGCCAGATACGTCTCTTCCCGAGAATTTTTGGATTTATATACAAAGCAGAGCACGTTGGCTAACTCCAGTGGATAATATCTAAAACCCTTTCTCGGGATGAGGGATTTGGAATGTCTTAAAATCCCTCTGCCATATTTTATTCTATACATAGTACCCATAATTAAACACTGGTAAACAATGCCAGATGTGGCTTAAAGTATTTTAGTACGTATACTCACTTATCAATTCTCTGCGGGCTCTTCGAAAGAGATGCCGAAAGAGTTCCAGAAGAGCTTGATCCTGGTCGGCTATCGAGACCCGCAACAACAGTAACGATGTGTCCGACCCAAGTCAAAGGAAATTGCATTAAACCGGTTTAGCAACTGCAAATGTTTATCAATTTTCCTTTCAATATAAACAAATGATATAAAATAAAGTAACTCTTATTTATTTTCCATGAGGTCTGGGGATACAACCATACAGGATCCGGATTTCTTTGATGTCAATAGTACTCAAATGCGTTCTCTGTCCAAGCACCACACCTTTTATCTTTGGTACAATAACTGGCTTGCTTCTATCTTTAGCAAACGAATAGGCACTGTAGTGCATGATAGATTGGAAATCGTACGGTTGGTTCAATTCATCGATATTTGAAGATTTGAACTTGACGAAGTTATGTTCCTGACCTGAAACGTAAAAGAATGAAAACGTAAATGTAAATAAATTTGAAAAACAGCCATGTAACTAATGCTCATAATTGCCAGACACCTGGTGGTAGTGTGCGTATAAGTTTGTGAATTCTTGATATATTTTTTTACTGCTAATCTTGACATCTGAGCTTCACTACAGTCATTATTATAATCATTGTTGCTCATCCGGGTGCCACTGTACGACTGCGTTTGTCATCTCTCACGGAAATTTTACTTAGTATGAAATGCGGTCACGGTAAATTTGGTCATACAAGTTTATAGGCCATATTACTAAGGTTATTGGGTAACAAGAGTAAATATGCCATAGTAATTAGGTCAAAATTGGTCACATTAATATGATCACAAAATATTAGTTATAGTAGTCTATTGGTAATCATACAAGTTTCCTAACCTTTTTGGATATTGCTGTAATCTACAGTAATATAGTTATCTCTATCGTGACGACTCTGTTCGTGGTATGTTCCAAGGGCATGATTAATTTCATGCATAACGACACCAGTATGTAAACAGCCACGCCCTAATGTAACGGTTGATGAAGTGTGACCTTTTCCAATCGGGGTATGACATCTGAAATAGTGACGCTCGAAGCAATATGTTGACTATGAACTAACAGGGCCTTTAGACATGATTCTAAAGATAAAGTATAACTCATAACAGCATATCAGATAAAATGTAGGTAATATAAAAACATCTGTCTTGAGATAAATCGGACGAAATGATACCGCTTTCAAGATCCGTTCTCAAAATGAATTAACCATGAATTGATATGGGTAGTACTTTAACTTACCCTGTACCCGATTCAAATCGAATATACTGTCTCTCATTATTGTGTGGTGTAAAGTGGATACATTTTTTACCGTTAACTTTAGTTTTTTCTTCTATAGTCCGCATAGCGTTTCTGATCGTGGCTTGATCATTGGAGGCTGTTGAAAAGATTACTGCTTAGAATGTGGACTAGATCGTTGGTTCCCAACCTGGGAACCACCTCATGGGATAACTGAAAGACTTCTTGAACAATTTTAACGGTACAGTATTATCATAACAGCAGATATCTCTCTCCACAGTGTGAACAATCAAGGCGTGGGAAGGGGTACCTGGAGCATCTGAACGCAGAAAAGGGTACGAAGAGTCCAAAAGGACTTTCAAGGAATACAAAAAATAACCTCGCGGATCACATTGAGTATTCCGCAGATAAGTTATTATGAAAAGTGTAACAGAGAACAAATATTGGGCATCTTCAGATGTAAAATATGTATTTTGCAAAAACTTACGATAATGTGATGAAATTGTATATGGCACTTTTCCATTACTCCATAGTCGACTCTTATCAGTAACAGCATTTCTATTCTATAAACAAATGGTATGTGAGCAAAGACCAAAGTATTTCCTATGTCAACATAGTCATTTTTAATATATGCACAAATCTAATGCATTGCAAATAAATAGGGGCTCAGGTCTGTCATGTAACTAACACAAAAGATTATAACAACTGCTAAGAATTGTTGGCAAACCGGGACAATCTATTTAATTGCTAGATTTAGGCCACACTAACGACAGATAATTCACAGCTTTCAACTGATGCAATAAGCCGCACATATTTAACTGTTCTGTTAAAAATTGGATCTGGAAGTGTATTTCTACATTCAATGGATCGAGTTTTGTAGTAATCTGCCAATTTTCCGTTTTATGTCGATTGCTACCAATCTTATCATGTGAGGTAATATTAGTTGTAAGCTACCCCCCTTCTCTTTACTGTGGTTGGCGACAGAGGAATAAATTCTCGGGAGACAAGGTTTAAGGAGTTACGAGACCTTCCTAGAATTCATTCTAGAACTGTCAATATGAAAGATTATCTGATATGTCAATAGTATTTCTTCTAGCAGTGATGTAATTTGTAGTAACTCTAAATTCTTTATTGTTATAAACTTACATTTGGGTCTTCTCCTTCTCTGAGTTCAATATCTCCTTCAAATAATCCTTAAA